TACCTGCTTTGGGGTGGAAACTTCTGAGAACCGCTGTGTTGGGTAGAGCTTGAAACCACCATCTTTTTTCAAATTTAGATTTAGCTTGAGCATTCCTGCTGGCCTCGCACTTCTGGGGCAAGGTGACGTTTGCATTTTGTAACAGCTTACTTGACCACTCCCAGAGTTCAGTGTGCACCTTCTGGCTAGTTAGAAATATGTATATATGGGGTGGGGGGCAGCGGGGAGGCAAGGGAACTGTCGGGAGAGGAGAGGGAGAGAGAGAATATGCATGGTGCAGTGCGGTGTATGGCAGTGGGACTGTAGTCAAGGTAGTTTGCCTGCAAATATGCGTGTATGTGAGAGTGTGCGTGAGAAAGAAAGTATACATGGTGCGGTGTGTGGTAGCATGGAACAGTATTCGTGGTGGTGCATGGGATACGTGTGTGTAGTATGGTGGTGTGGATATACCCGCGTGAGTGTCCATGGTGGTATGTATGTGAATGCATATGTCATTACTACAGGCGGGCTTGACTCAATGGTCCGCCTCAGCTGCATCATCGTATACTGATGTCCGAGCCTGTGTTGGCCACATGTGGTCACTCAGTACTACAGTGTGGCCCTGAGCATTGCTGAGTGGGTATCCTGCCTCTGCTTCAAGGCTGGGGGGAGGCTGGTCATGCTGACCTCACAGCCGCTAAGGATTAGGTTGTGAAAGTCTTGATGGCCCCAGTGCCCCTGTTATCGACCTCTTTTTCTAGAACATCTCTAGAACAGCTCAGAACCTGGGTCTGCTCTTCCCTTTTTCCTTCTCCAGCATCCGGTTCATCCTGACTTCCCTCTGTTCTCCTTCCCTGGTGTTCACACTTTCCGACTCTTTCTTCCGTTCTTGGGGACTCCCACTCCAGTCCAGTGGCCTCACACCTGCATGAGAATAGCCCTGTCCACACAGCCTCCCAACTTCTCTGTCAGCCTGGGCCTGATACTGGCCCAGCTCTTTCTTTGGTCCTTTCCCGCCCTTGCTCAGGGGCCTTCAGTGGCCATGTTCTCAGCAAGGGGACTTTAGCTTGGGACTGTCCAAGTTCATCTCTCCCACTCCTACTTCCTGGCGAGTTTTTAAGAACTGAGCTATTTGTTTGTTTTTTACGTTAAGGATTACAGTTTGGCCCACTTGGGGGAGGTGGGGCTAGCTAATTCTCACCCACTCTGTGACTGGCCATCCTCCAGTTTATGGAAAACCAGGAGACAAAGGCTGGAACATACTTAAGTTTAACTCTTGGACAGGCTAAAGGGTCTTTTGTTTGTTTTTCACTCTGGGGAAAGGATCTGGGCCCCAAGTGGCCTCCTTCCTCTGTTACAGAGATTGTTTTTTTTTTTTTTTTTTGGAGTCCAAGCTGAGAAAGTATGTGGGACATTTTAAAGATGTCTAATTTTTAAAAGAGAGGCATCTTTGGGGTTTTTGTGGGTGGTGGAATATACCCACAGAAACCCCCAAAACCAAACCATCCATTTGGGGTTTTGTTCTGTTGTCTATTCCTGTGATAGGTGGTGAATGGAAGCCTTTGATATATTTCCTTTGGACATCCAGGTTCAGCTTTTACTCTTGAATGCCTGTTAAATGCACTAATTTTACATTTGAGAATAAAAAAAGTAATATCCTGATAGCTGAAGGGAGAACACAGGTATCTCTCAGAATCACTTCTCTCCCAGGACGTTGGCTAGGGTCACAGTACCAGCAGACTTCTTGCCTAAAGAAGCATGGAGGTGGGGCTCATAATATTCTCTAGCACTCCGAAGATCATTGCTTCACTTCCTGACAGCAGAGCTTCTGTGTGGACACAGCTTTAATGTGGGGCAAATACCCAAAGGCAGCCAAACTCTGGGTAGGCTACTGTAGACTATGGGAGTCTTTGCTGCCCTGTGCATAAGTGGGTCTGACATTGTTCTAGGATCAACATCCAGAGTCCAGAGCCAAAAAGAACCTCTATGCATCGCCAGCCTTTGAAAGTTTCTGCTCTGTGTGGGCTGTGCTTGGCTGCCCCAGGCCTCTGAGGCATGTGGTCAGACACAGACTCTGTGACTACCTGAGGTGCCTGCCTATGGTTATTACTCAGTCAATCCTTACCATGTGTCAGCATTGCCTCTTACAAAGGAGCTCAGAGTTTTCCAACCACGTGATCTCCGTTCTCAGGAGTGACTTTAAGACTCAGTATTTCCTCTGCACCTCTTAATCTCGTTTGAGATGAAGGCTTTTTAAGATTGAGACTTTGTTTCCTGTCTCTGGTCCAGAGGGCTAGAGGCTCCATGGTCATGCTGCCCCTTGGGACCTTGTATAATGATGACATGTTCTAAATCTAGTACAGAAGGCATGCACGCTTAAGCACTTGAAACGTGGTTGGTGTGAATGAGAACCATAATCCATGTCTGGCTCACATTGTGAGGAATTTAAATACCACCCGTGGCAACCACGTTAGACAACCTAGCTCTTTAGGTCTGGGGAAACGGTCAAGCACAGTAGCTAACAGAAAGCCACAGCCCTGTGCACTCTTTTATTTTTTTTTATTTTTTTTTTTATTTTATTTTTTTTTTTTTTGGTTTTTCGAGACAGGGTTTCTCTGTGTAGCTTTGCGCCTTTCCTGGATCTCACTCTGTAGACCAGGCTGGCCTCGAACTCACAGAGATCCGCCTGGCTCTGCCTCCCGAGTGCTGGGATTAAAGGCGTGCGCCACCACCGCCCGGCCCTGTGCACTCTTAATGAGAGGACATCTGGCTGAGGTGGCCTTGCCTGGAGCAAACAGCATCATATAGTCTAAGCTGGTTTGATAAAGCTTGGCTCAGCATCAAAGCTGTTCCTGTGATTTTTTGGGGGGAGGGAACACCCTGCTGCTGTGCTGTTCTGAGGGGGTAGTCATTATTGATTGTGCCTTTGTCTCCTACAACAGAAGACTCCAAGCTGCCCACGGCTCCCTGTTTTTTCAGCAGGGTCTATACCAGGTACCTCTGCTTGATTTCACAAAGCCATGACATAAATGTTCGATGTCTGCAGGGGATAAATACTGAACCCGGAGATCTGTTCTAGGGAGGAGCGGGGACAAGGTACAAGGGAGGCAGTGTCACCTGTGGCCTAGATGGAAACTTGGGGGTCTATTTTGCATAGCTTTCCTTGAATGGGGTCAGCTGAGACCTGCAAAGGTGTTCTTGCCTTACAAGGTACCAATGGAAGCTGTGATGAGGTGTGGGTGAGCAGTGGGCAGAGCTGAATTCTCCAGCTTCACTTTTGGAAACATGCATACTGGGCTCATCATAAGGACTCATTCATCCATTGGCCTGAGGATGCCTAAGGGGTAAATGCCCTGCCTGGCGCCACCTATGGATGAATCACCAGCCCATGGCCTCCCATAGCACCCTGCACACACACACACACACACACACACACACACACACACACACACACACACACACCGCTGTATTCCTCCAGATGTTCTGCAAGCCAGTGGGGTTTCACTGTTGGTGTTTGCTTCCTCATTGGTCTTTTCCATGTAGGAGAATCTGTCAAAAGTCTACACATCTGCTCATCTGTTTAGGGACCCCTGGTCGCTCCACATCTCCCCCTGCCAGTGTTCCTTTTTGCCATGATTTCAGATGTATACAAAATCAGATTGTTGGCAAGGTTCAGAATGTGATCCTGGCCTGGAAGTCAAGACCAGGTAGTTTATTTGCACGGAGCAGCTAAGGCCAGGTGATCCCAGCTGTGCGCATGTGTAGCTTTCTCTCCAGCCACCACTGACTCCCTTCAGCTCTCACTGCAGCAGCTGACTGAACAGAGTCAGGCAGCTGGCGATTGCGCTTGTGCAGGGCAAGATGAGGCACATAGGTGCGGGTCGCAGTCTGCTTTATTTTTACGTTGGAATGTGTTACTCTTAAAGCAAAGGGAAGGCTCAAGTGACAGAACAGGGGGCAGGGGACAGAGGTCACCGATTGCTGGATACTCCACTTCCAAACCAGTGAAGGCTCTCACCCTTCCCGCCCCCTTCTCTGGACTGGATGTCTGTGATTGCTCAGCCCAAATCGGCTCAAACAATATAGGGCATCTGCTCAGACATGCTTTGACCTGGTGGCTTAGTGGTTTTTTACCTAGAAACTGCTTTAAAAATATTTTTATTATTTCTTAGAGAATTTCCTACAACATATCTTAATCATCTTCACTCCCCTCTCCTCCCAGGCCCATCCCTTACCCCACCCTTCTTGTCCAGTTATTATTATTATTATTATTACTATTACTATTATTGTTATTTTAGAAGAGACTATCCTGCTGTGACTGTCTTGGTCTTCCCAGCTCTCCCCACTCCTGTGTCAACCTTGTCCTAAACTTGGACCCTCTCATGGCAGCAAGAGGCTACCAACAATGTCCAGGGCTCCACGTTTCTTCGGCCTGAACTTGTCCAGAGGGGATGAGGTGTTCTCTTGTGGGAAGAGCACCTTTCTCAGAACCCTTTTGGTCCTGGGATTTTACATCCTTGGTGAATCAGTGCCTGACTGGGTGAAGCTTCTGAACAAAAGCCTGTGGTGGTCTCGGGTTTTCTGCAGACCGGGAGCTGGGAGGGGAGCTGGGGAGCTGGGAGGGGAGCTGGGGCCCACAATAAAGACTGGTGTGGTCCCTGAGAGAAGAGTGTGTGTTAGATCAGAAACTGTAATTCTCACCTTCTCTGTGCTCTGCCAGTCTATGTTCCACTCATAGGTGTGATTTACTGCTAGGAGCAGAATGTGACGCCAAGTGCTCCTTTGTTCCTCCTCCTCCTCCTCCTCCTCCTCCTCCTCCTCCTCCTCCTCCTCCTCCTTTTTCTTCCTTTCCAACCCTTGGTTTCCGCCCCCTTTTCTTCACTCTCCTTCTCCACCCCAGCCGTTCCTCTACTCCTGTTTTCCCCTTCTCCCCATCACCCCTTCTGGTTGGATGATGGAATCCTTGGTGTGTACTACAGAGTTTCTCCCTGAACTAAAACCCTCCCGTTTGCTCCCACCAGGAAGAAGAAATGCCAGACGTTGAAATCGACATCGATGATCTTCTTGATGCTGACAGTGAGGAAGAGCGAGCTTCGAAATTACAGGTGAAGAGCTTTCAGTATCTAGAATTTTCTGATCATGGATGTTTGGGTCGACTTGGGTTTCCAAAACCTGGGTATAACTGATGCCGTCTGGTGGGGACACAGTCCCCTGCATTTGAACAATGGCATTTTGCACAACAAAGAGCATTGGTGCTGGCTCTTCACCATCTACTGCACGTCTGATAACAAAACAGCTGTTGACAACAGACAGTTTTCCAGGGGCCTTCTGGGGCAGTACTCCCGAGGCGTATTCTCTTGGGAGAGAGAGTTGGCTCTACCTTGGAAAGCCAATCTCCAGGGAAGGCAGAAGTGCCTAGCAGGCAGGTGAGGAGGAAAGAGACTTCGCCAGATCCAAGCCCTGGGCTCTGCTCTTGCATCTGTGGATTAAATCATTCATGAAAACCATTTTTAGAATTAGATGGCTTGGAATGTAATTCTGTTTAGTAAAGTATCTTTTTATTAGGTGCTCACCTGATGGTGTTCCGCCGGAACAGTGGGGATGGAAGTGCCTCATGTTCCTTAGCAGAAAGAAATAAACCACAGCTCTTCCCATGGGAGGTCAGGTCTACCACTTCTCAATCTGCGCTGGGCAGTTTCTAAAACTAATTAACCTGTGACCTGCCATTGTTCTTAACGTCCATTGGTAATTACTGTTAGTGGCTGTTGGCTGTCCCCAGTGGTATGTGATGAGTGGAGCCAGTCAAAGTGCACATTTTACTTCATTGATGTGATTAATGTAATCATAATTACTAGTGCCCTGGGAGTGGCAGGTAGCCTCTGTTCCAATGATTATACCTTGTGTGTAGATTTCATTTGGAGACAATAGTTTTTTAAAAAGATAAAGTAGACATCAGTTCTATAAAAAATAGAATGACATACAAAATAGGCTGAGAACATGAAAGGGGCTTGTTTTAGTTGTCCTCTGGTCCCTCTTCCTGCTTGCTTCCCAGATGAGTGAGGAGAGAAGAACCTAAGACCATCAATGGCTGAGTCATGGCCAGAGCCCTCTCCCCATGTCCACAGTGGTTGCCACCATCTTGCATAGGCAGGGTCTCAGCTTTAAGTATGTCCACTTTAATATTAACCAGGTAGGGAGTCCAAGGGAAGGGTGTGTGTGTGTGTGTGTGTGTGTGTGTGTGTGTGTGCAGAAAGAAGTTTAAAAAAAAAACATCCTTTAAAGCAAGCTCTGCTCAGTGAGACATTTATAATCTAGCGAGGGTTATATTTGATTTTCAAAAATGTGGTATCCCCCCCCAAATAAGTCTTTTGTAAATCAAAAACTCTATGCAGTATATATGTACATATGTACCCATACCAAGGACAAAACATAGCTGTATATGAATGACATTTTTATATCTTAGCTGACCAAGTGGTACTGAAATAAAATGTGACTGTGAATAGTCAATAGGAAGTCTTGACAGAGCGCTGTAAAATAATAAAGATGAGATGAGGAGGCTGGAGAGAAGGCTCAGCCATTAACAGCGCTTGCTGCTCTCCCAGAGGACTAGAATTCAGTTCCCAGCTCCCACATCAGATGGCTCACAACTACCTGTAACTCCAGCTCCATGGGATGTCCAACATCCCCTGTGGTCTTCATGGATACTGCACTCATGTGTACATACTCCATAGACATACCCATGCACACAATTTAAGATAAATTAAGAAATGACTTTTGATTTCACTTTGAAGATGATAGATTTAAAAATAAAAACTGACTCTCTGTGTATTTAATTCCAGGAAGCTCTCGTAGACTGCTATAAACCAACAGAGGTAAGCAATTTATTCTACCTAAGTGCTGTGTTAGAATTGGTTTTTGTCAAATCAATTTGTCTGTTTTGAAAGCTAAGCTACAACAAGTGAATACAAATTACCAGTTCCCACCCATGAGTGCCTGTGTTCTCACAGTGCTAGCTTCATTATTTCTAAGCCTAAACCTATTCAGTTCAGGAAGATATTAATGGAACAGGGTGTGCTTAGGTATTAGAGAAAATCTTCCCTTCACAGAAAATTGTGAGGAGGTGCAGAGTCATTATAGAGGGGAATATAGCTTATGACTTTAATGGGTAAGCATTTTTTAAAAAATGCTTAAAACCAGGGCTGGAGAGATGGCTTAGCAGTTAAGAGCATTGGCTGCTTTTCCAGATGACCTGGGTTCAGTTCCCTGCAGCTACACGGCAGCTCACAGCCATCTGCAACTCCAGTTCTAAGGGATCCAATGCCCTGTTCTAACACCTGTGGGTACTAGGCATACACATGGTGTACATACATACATGCAGGCAAAATCACACACATAAAGTTCCTTTATTAGGAGAAAAAAATGTTATGCTTTGTCTGGTTATTTCTCAAGTGATATACATTGGCATAAGAAACAATGAATATTGCTGATTAGACCAAAGTATTTGACATAGAATCTAAATGATTAAAAGCAAAAATAGGATAGATATTAAGGATTTGATCAGTTATGAAACTATTAGCCTCCCCCCATCAAATACTTTCAATTTGTTCTTATGGTAGATCAGAGAAATTAGAAGACCCATCAGGTGTTTGGGGGTCATTTTACGTCAAAGCGATGTTTGTAACCCTTTTGATTTTTGAAGTAGTAAGTGATGGAGAAAATATGCTTTTAGGGGTGTGTACATTTGAGTCTGAGGTGTTTTGTGATCATTTAGTTTAAGGATAGAGATCAGTTTGAGCTAAGTATTTAAAGCCTCCAGATTTGATCACATCCTCTGGAAATTTAAAAGTTTGATTTTGTGTATTAAAAGTGTACTTTTGGTGAATATAACACACATTCCTATTTTGAAAACCTCCAAATATTGTAACACTGAGAAAGCAAAGGTTGACTCTCCACCCCCAACTCCTGAGTCTCTCTAGAAGCCTATATTCTACATTCATATACAACACATTTGTCTATTTCCTTTCATTACTATTATATTCCTAAATATGTATTCCTTGCTTTTATTCTTCATTTATTGACTTGAGGGAGAAAATGATAGTTCTCTTACTATTGACATAATTCCCTTCCATTCATCCCCTCAATAAAGTTATACAGCAGTATTTTATTAGATCAATAGTTGAAGTCTATACTTTAATGACTTAAACAAGTGTTTTCACTACTAACCCAACGGTACGCCAGGACCATAGCTCCTTTTGTGCGTGTGTTCGTGCCTGTGTGTACATGTGTGTGTGTATGTGTGTGTGTCCCTGTGTGTGTCCCTGTGTGTGTGTCTGTGCATGTGTGTCTCTGTGTGTGTGTCTCAGTGTGTGTCTGTCATGTGTGTGTGTCTGTGTCTCTGTGTGTGTGTGTGAGTATATCTGTGTATGTGTCTTTGTCTTTGTCTTTCCTGGAGTTGATAACTCCCTGGCCTTTGACTTAGTCTGGCCCCTGCTGTGTGGACACCCCATGTGTTTGTCTGTCAGGTGATGTTTTCCAAATGCCCACTGCTTCATTCTCACCCTTCCCCGCTTTTCCTGTGAGGATTTTAATCAGGTGTCTTAGTTTTAATTCTGTTTATTAATGGGTCTTACTATGGGGTGAGCAGGCTGCCAGTCAGACTTTTCATGCTGTTTTATGTGGAATGAGAGAAGGTCAATATAATCGTGAGTGGCATAATAATGTTGGTCCCTTAAAATTACATTATAGGAAGCCATCACTATTGTTGCCATAAATACAGTGTTTATACAACACAAATCTCACACTTTCCTAAGAACGGATCCCCCACTTTAAGTGGTACATGATTACTTCAGTGTCTTTTCTGCCCCCAGGGAGATTCAGGTTTTATCAAATTGGTTGGTCTAATACTCCCTGCTGAAAGGTTGCCATCTTGACTTCAGGTTTTCTGGAAGCAGAAGGAAGCAGGAGAACCTCCCTCCTTAGCTGTTTGGGGAATAGAGCTTCTCTACAGAGTGTTGGGGAATGAAAATGAATTACAACAATTTGATATTTGGAGTAGAGTTTAAAGCTGTTGTGACAGGACAGACAAGGCTGCTAGGGATGTAGTTGAGAAAAGAAATGAGGACTGGACACGTAACTCAGTGTGGCATGTGCAGGGCCGTGAGTTCTAGTCCCAGTGCTGAGGTAAAAAGCGTCATGCAGAGGGGTCACCTGCAGTGTGGAGAGGCACTGGTTGCTGCTGAGAAGAACAGGATTGGTAGGTGCAGGATGTCCCTTCTCAGACACTCACTCCCTTTTTGTTCTGTTCTCCTCTTAGCTGGATAGCTATTTAAATGAGAAGGCATGGACTGGCAGATTTTATTTTGATCAGCCCCATCAACAACACCCCCAAACAACCCTCTTTGTGTCCCCTGCTTTTTGCTGTGTCTGGAGATGAAAATCCTCCAGTGGTTCACAGCTATGCAGATAAATGAACATGGAGGGTCCTGTTCCTGCAACAGAACTCATCTAATTCATCCCTCTGCCTTTTGGTGTGTGCATTTGTGTTTACCTCCTCACATAGTTGTACATGTGGATGTAAGCACATGTGGATGCATGGAGGCTAGAGATCAACCTTGCCTGTCATTCCCCAGGTGCTGCCCACCTCGGTCTGGTTTTGTGGTTCCTTGGTTCTTTGAGGGACAATCTCTCACTGGCCTGGAGCTTTCCACGTAGGCGAGGCCGGCTGGCCAGCGAGCCCTAGCAATCCTCCACTCTCTACCTCTCAGGGCTGGGATTAGAGCGCTAACTACCACACCTGGCTGGAGGTTGAACTTGGCTCCTCGTGCTCCTCCACAGCAAGCACTTTGCCAACTGAGTTATCTCCTTTGCCTCAACCCCTGCTCTTGATGTGGAGGCTTAGGAGATGAAAAAAATACAGCCTTTGACTACTCCGAAAGGAGGGAAATGAGCTGGAGTTCGCAAGCAAACATCCCTGGATTCTTTTTTTTAGCTCACGGTTTCGAGAAATAGACATGGTGCCAAGTGAGGGATTCTGTTCATTTATCCTAAAGGATCCTCTGAGAAAGGTGGAGGGCTTTGCCTTTTAGTGTGTGCTCATATGCCGCAGTTTGCGACACCTGGACTATGAGAGAAGCTACTGGCTTCTGTTTTTTCAGAGTTAAGTAGCTCACAGTGTATCAACCTACACTGTCATGTTTAATCTGCACAGCCATCAGTTAGAGTACGGAGGGTTTGGGGAATTTGTCTACAGTGCCAGAGCAGTCAGCCAGGGAGCCAGTACTTAACCCTGAGGTCTCACACTGGGCCTTGAGCTCTGTCGTCTCATCCTGCCAGTCCTAATAAATGCCTTGCCTTGCTGGGCGGTGGTGGCACACGCCTTTAATCCCAGCACTTGGGAGGCAGAGGCAGGCAGATCTCTGTGAGTTCAAGGCCAGCCTGGTCTACAAAGCAAGTTCCAAGAAAGGTACAAAGCTACACAGAGAAAGCCTGTCTCAAAAAAACCAAAAAAAAAAAAAAAAAGGTGCCTTGCCTTAGCAAGAGATTCATACCTTAAAAGGGTGTTATCCAATCTGGACTAGATGCTGAATAATTCAAGCACCCCCTCCTCTTTTAAAGCAGCCATCTCTGGAGGTGCTGGATTTGATCAAAGTTACTTGATATCCAATCATGTCATTTGGAAGTCTGAATTGTAAACAAGGCGTCTTTGCTGATGGAGATAGATTTGTGTACAGCCTCTTTCTGCAGAGAGAGGATGGGTGGGGAGAAGAATGGGTTTTGAGTTTTGTCTTCAGGGTAGAACCAGCCAGTGCTGTGTAAGCTTACATCATGTTCTCAACCTCTCTGAGCCTCCATTTCCTCATATCACAGAGGCTCCTGTAAATGGAAGTAGCGTAACTGTCCCCCTGCATTTCAGTAAGGCTTATTTGCAGTGATACTTTTAATAGCAGTAACAACAAGAATAGCTAATTGATTAATAAGCTGGGCATCAATCTAATCACATCTCATGTGTTGACTATTTCTTTATGAATAATTTAAACATTTATTAAATCATTCATGGCTTAGTGTTTTACCTAGACTTACATTTTTTTTTTTTTGGAGGTGAGGACCGAACCCAGGGCCTTGCACTTGCTAGGCAAGCGCACTACCACTGAGCTAAATCCCCAACCCAAGACTTAGATTTTTCAGAGCAGTTTAGATTCACAGTGTAATAGACCAAAGGATATAAAGATTTCTTACCTACACCCCAAACCTTCTCCATTATCAACATCATCACCAGAGTAGCACATTTGTAGGTCCTGATGAATCTGCATTGACACGTGGTAATCACCCAAATCCATAGTCTACACTACGGTTCACACTTGTTCTCCCTACTATGAGTTTTGAGGAGTTTTTGGCCTGTGTTCATCATCACAGTGTCTTACAGAATAGCTCCACTACCCTGCGTTCTGCCTCCTCATCCCTTCCTCCTTCCTGGAACCCAACACTGCTTTCTTTACTATCTCCATAGTTTCCGCAACTTGTCATCCAGATGGAGTCTTACAATGTCTCCCCCCACAGACTGGCTTCTTCTTACCTGTCCATTTCAGTCTCCTCCATGTCTTTCCATGGCTTGAGAGTTCTCTCACTTTTAGTTTTAGATGATAACCCCAGGTCTCAACATTCTGCTCACCTATTGAAGGATTTCTTCTTTGCCTTCAAGTGTTAGCAATGCTGCTCTGAATTTCTTGTGCAGATTTTGTCATGATGAGTTTCCATGACTTTGGGGTAAATTCCAAGGAACATGATTGCTGTATTGTATCTTAAAACTATATTTGAGTTTGTGGGAAACTACCTTTCAAGGTAGCCAGATCGTTTTCCATTCTCATCGGGAATG